CTTAGGGCTCTTTAGCTTGGAGAAACGATGACTGAGGGGGGCAACTTCGCTATTAGATATATAGATGCATGGGATAGAGCAGGTAGAGAAAGAGGTACTTTTCTCCCTTTCTCACAATACAAGAACTCGTGGGCACTCCATGAAATTGCTGAGTGGTCGGGTTAGAACAGATAAAAGGAAGTCCTTCTTCACCCAAAGAATGATGAACACATGGAATTCACTGCCACAGGAGGTGATGGCGGCTACAAGCATGGACGGCTTCAAGGGGGAATTAGATAAGCATATGGAGCAGAGGTCCATCGGTGGCTATTAGCCACAAGGTATAGATAGGGACTCCGGGGCAAGTGATGCGCTGTATTTTTGGTGCTGGGGGGGGTCAACAGTGGGAGGGCTCCTAGTGCCCTGGGCCCACTGCTGGACCTCCTGATATCACCTGGTATTTCTGGCCACTGTGTGACACAGAGTGTTGGACTGGATGGGCCATTGGCCTGATCCAACATTGACTTCTCTTCTGTTCTTCTGTTCTTCTGACTCTCGGTCTGGGGCCAGGGATGCTCTGTATTCTTGGTGCTTGGGGGGGGGGACAACAATGGGAGGGCTTCTAGTGTCCTGGCCTCACTGCTGGACCTCCTGATGGCACCTGGTATTTTTGGCCACTGTGTGACAGAGTGTTGGAATGGATGGGCCATTGGCCTGATCCAACATTGGCTTCTCTTATGTTTTTATGTTATCTTCTCAAAGTCTGAATCCCAACGCTACAACCTACTCTTCCCTCCCCTATCAATAATACGTTCTAGGGTGACTGCGTGAAGGTTTGCCTGCCCGGCTGTGCTGTTTCACGTGAGAATCTACAGACTGTACCTACTTCTTTAAGAAGAGAGGCTGTCATACATCACTCTGCTCAGTTTGCATTACTGGGGAGAGAGAATTCCTTAGGTGTGGGCGTGGGGGGGAGTGTGGAGTGGGTGACGGCGCTATCTTAGAGGCCGTGAGTCTTCTGAAGCAGCCTTCCTCTCCCAGAGGAACGTCCTTGAAACTTTTGGTGCCAGCTTGCTTGTGTAGATAATGGGATCATATATTTCCCAGGTGAAAGCGGGGTAGGACCGCTATGGCTAGGCGGGATGGATGGATGTGATGTATGAGTGGTCAATAGGAGGGGTTGCATTTGAATTACCTATATCTATGATTGTACCCGCCAAAATCTTCAGTTCTGACACGGTACTGTTATGACCTGGATCTTGCTTACAACTCAATAAACATATCACTGCCAACAGAGAGTGTTGCTGAGAATAACTTGACCAGGAGTCTGATGGAGGCAGATGGCACCTCTGTTTGGAAGCACTCCCCAAGACCACCCAGCCCCCCAATATAAGGCTCTCTACACACACACCCCAATCCTTTTTGAAATAATTCCTGGCCACTAACATGAACGTCATTCAGCACAAAAACAGCCCAAGTCAGCAGCCATCCATACTTCAACCAGCAGCCCTATATACCAATTAAAACTGGGCAGCACCTTGCAGTGGTCCTAAAAGCACCTTACCTATTCTTCCAGATCACCACCTCTGTTTTTAGGATGCAGCGTTTAACTGTGCTGGGACGGCGTAACCATCCGCCCTACTTCTTTTGACGAAGTGAACAGTGACACACGAAAGCTCATACTCGACCACAGATTTTGTTAAGTCTTTAAGGTGCTACTGGACTCTTAATCTTATCCATTCTACAATACTTTACTGCCACACAATGACAGAGTGCACGGATGACCCCACAAGACTCAGGAACACGGGTTCTGCAGGAACTGGAGACAAACGAGCCACTCGGCCGACTTTCAAGATGCTTCTCTACTTCTGCGTTCCCTGGCTGCTTCGCCTCACGGAGCTTACTTGTGACAAGGCCATAGAACCCCACCCACAGGATGGACTACGCATGGCAGCTCTCTTCCAGCTTCCTACTTGAAGTTATATGTACTCCCCCGACCGAACCTTCCGGTTGCCCCCCTCCCCTTTCCAAGCAGTAGAACAGCCTCAATGACATGTACCAACTGCTAATATAATGGTGCTGCAGCTGTTTATCGACAGCTTCGTAACCGTCCTGAAACCACTAGGCCCCGATCAAGAGCAAAGACGACATGTGAAGTATGAGATGCATGTGAGTGTTGCTCTGGCCTGGATGATTTCTGGGTATGTTCAACACATGGCTTTCCATTCCGCCATTCTATCCTCCTGTCTGCCTTATGTGATAGGTGAGCGAGAGATTGGCCTACCCCAGCAAGTTTCACAGACTGGAATAGGAAGATAAAGATTAGGTTACAGAGCTAATTCAGTTGATTAATAAAACCTACCACTGTGCTTTTGTGTGTTAAGCGCTGCCAAGTCACAGCTAGCTTACAGTGTCGCCGCCCCGGGTAGGGTTTTCAAGGCAAGAGACTAACAGATATGGGCTTGCCTTTGCCTGTCTCGGTATAGCATCCCTGGAGTTTGTGGGTGGTTTCCCATCCAAGCACTAACCAGGGTCAACCTCCGGCAGGTGCTGCAAGCGCTGCACTGGCTGCCAATAGCATACCGGATTCGCTTCAAAGTGCTGCTGCTTACCTTTAAAGCCCTGAATGGCCAGGGTCCGGCCTACCTAAGGGACCGTCTCTTCCTGTATGTTCCCTCAAGAGCACTGAGATCGGGGAATCTCCATCGCCTTGAAGTTCCAGGCCCCCGAGCTGTGAGGTTGGCCCAGACCAGAGCTAGGGCGTTTTCAGTGGTGGCTCCTGCCTGGTGGAATGAGCTCCCAGAGGAGATCCGGGCCCTGCAGGACCTTGTACAGTTCCGCAGGGCCTGTAAGACGGAGCTCTTCCACCAGGGCTTTGGGTAGGAGCCGCCGCTGCCACTATACCACCACCGCGATGTTACCATCCATCTGCCGTACCCTGGGGTGGGGGGTAGATGTCGCCCGGAAAACTCTGTGGGATGATTGCTCCTGACATTTCCGCTATTAAGAACGCTAACTGCAAATCGGGGCTGCTGTGTATTGTGTATATCACATATAGACCTGTGTATAATGCATGTAGATCTGTAGCACCAAATTTTATTTGTATATATTACTGTTTTATTGTTACAAATTTTTAAAATTGTTGTTAGCCGCCCTGAGCCTCTGGGTAGGGCGGGATAGAAATCCCAAAAATAAATAAATAAATAAATAAACAAACAAACCTGGTTATGTACGCCGTATACCCCTCAAAGAGCTTTAAGCTCTAGTAGTCAACATCTCCTGGTGGTCCCTGGGCCAAAAGACGTCCATTTACCCTCGACCAGGGTCAGGGCCTTTTCTGCCCTGGCCCCCACCTGGTGGAACACGCTCCCCATCGAGATCAGGGCCCTGCGGGATCTTACTCCATTCCGCGGGGCCTGTAAGACGGAGCTCTTCCGCCAGGCTTTTGGTTGAGGCAGCGGGCGTCCACAGATGGCCTCCCCAAGGTTGCCGTCTCCTACCTACTGGCCCACCCATCTGCCAGCAGCCGGCCTTATCCATCAGTATAAATGGGTCGGAATCTGCACCAGCAGCTATAACTACTGATTTTAAATGCTTATAACATAATGTTTTATTATGTTTTAAAACCTCTTTGTATTATTTGAGATGATGTGACCCGCCCTGAGCCCGCTCATGGGATGGGCAGGATACAAATACGAAAACTGACTAAATAAATAAATAGCTAGCTTGTGAGATCTGTTGAGACTGGGCTAGCCTGGGGCGTCCAGTTAGGGCACTGTGCTTATACGTTCCGTGTAATCATTTAGTACTATGACTGCATGCCAGAACTGCTCAATAATATGAAGAACTCTGATTTAAATCACCCTGTGTCATGAAGGCATTTCTTCACATGGAGGCATTGCAGGACATGCCGCCTAGAGCTGTTCCCCTAACACGGCACGCCCCAGTTCGAGCAGAACACTCCCCAAAACCCCACCTTCTCCAGACTTTACCTGGCTCTTGATTCCTTGCTGAGTGATGAATGTTTTCAGGGCCCCGGTCTCAGAATTCTGTGGATAACCAAAGTCCAGGATTTCTACAGAAGGGGGTAAAGTGTTATCAGAGAAAGGCGACACATCCAGAAGGGTCTGATGAACCAACTATAACTTCCGACTCGAAACAGGCAAACGAACACAATTCGATTAAGGAAACGGCTGAGGGGAGGCTCACACCAACGGCTGCCGGATATGAGAAAGATCCCGCCAGAGGCAATCACGGCTGTCCGAGAGTCGGCAGCGGCGGAGAAGAGACGGAAACGCTTTAAAAGGAGGAGGAATCCGGGCCAGCCCAGGAAACCCGCTCTGAAGCAGGATTATCCGACTGCAGGAGAAGAATCTATCTTTGCCGCGTTTTCTTTAGGTTTTGATTTTCGCGTGAGCACGCCATAAAAATCAAAACCTAAAAAAATAACAGCAGAGTAGCAGGCGTCGCAGGACAGGCTGGCTGGCCAAGCTTGGGAGAAAAGGAAGTTCCCATTAGCTGCCCCACCCCCCGCCCGCCCCCCCCCCCCATGAGAGGACACAGCCGGTCGCTTCGGATCCAGAGGGGACACACCTGCAACATGAATACAAAATGATGCGGCTTCCGGCTGCTTTTAAGCCTGTGACTAATTGCAGACCTGTGGCTCCCCGCCCCCGCGCCCCTCTCCCCAGAAACATCTGCACGAAGAGCTCTGAGAACCTCAAAGGCAGGGATTGCAAATTCCAACACTGATGAATCCCCACCATCTGTTGACAATGCTTCACAAGGCAGTTAAAGCCGCCATTGTCAGTAGCACCTCAGAGCGCTGAGAACATTAACCACATTCCTAAACAGCACAGAAAGGCTGGCATCACAAGTTAAAAGGGACCTTTGCCCCACAGAAGTCAATCAAGCTACAGAACACTGTTGGGAAGAGCTCAGAACGGAAACATTTCAGTGGCTGCTGTTTTTAAACATTATTGGATTATTGTAACTTGCTTCACGTAGGGCTACTCTTGAGACTGACCCGGAAGCGCCAACTGGTACAAAATGTGGCTGCGCGGGTCCTCACGGGGACTCCACGGAGGGCACAGATCCATCCAGTGCTACGTGAGCTGTTCTGGCTGCCGGTGGAACACCGGATCAGATTCAAGGTTTTGGTGCTTACCTTTAAAGCCCTTAACAGTCGGGGACCCCATGTATCTTTGGGACTGCCTCGCCACTTCCGATATGTCCCCCGAAGGGCACTGAGATCATCAGATAAGAATCTCCTGGTGATTCCCGGCCCTAAGGATATCTAGCTGGTCTCGACCAGGGCCGGGGCCTTCTCAGCCTTGGCCCCAGCCTGGTGGAATTCTCTGCCGAATGACATCCGTGCCCTGCCTGCTCTACTGAAGTTCCGCAGGGCATGCAAGGCAGAGATGTTCTGCCAGGCCTTTGACTGAGGCCAGCGATGGTTCCCTTACATCTGCCCGGCACTCTCCCCTCCCCTCCCCTCCCATGAAAACCTGAATGCTAGACATGCCATCTTGTTTAAAGTGTTGAAAAACCCACGTTGAATGTTTTTATATTGAATTCTGTAGTTTTAACTGGTTTTAACGTTGTACTGGATTTTATGTGGTTGTAAACCTCCCTGAGCCCCGCGTAAGCAGGGCAGGGCGGTTAAGGAACCAATAAATAAATAAATAAATATGATCTTTCCCAGACTTCCAACCAGTGTTCCCTCTAAGCTGAGTTAGTGTGAGCTAGCTCACAGTTTTTAGCCTCCGGCTCACATGTTTTTGTCTTAACTCAGGAAGGAGGGCTCCAGAGCAAACTGATTTATGCAGTTGCCAAATCGCTCGCTCACAACTTTAATGCCGGTAGCTCACAAAGTAGAATTTGTGCTCATGAGACTCCACAGCTTAGAGGGAGCATTGCTTCCAACAACCTTAACTAAACCCACCCACCCCATTTCTGTTTAAGGCATTGTTCTGGCCGTGCCTTTAAAGGCAGGTGTTCTGTGCATTCCCAGAATCGTTCAGTCACCTCTAATGCAGAGAAGGTGCCACTACCAACCCTCTGCGGGGGCAGGTGGAAGGTGGGAAGGCCAGAGCAGTCAGTAAGGAATACAGCTGGCCGCACAGGGTGGGAGCCTGCTTGCTTTTTCGCTGTTAGGGTTCCGTGTGGCACAGCAGTGTGGCCTGGTACAGTTAGCCAATTGATCTTTAAAGCCCCACCTGGCTTGCAACCAGCAGACCTTAAGGACTGCCTATTCCCACAGGAACCTGCCTCACCACGACAGTCTGAGGCTGCGTTAGACCAAGCGGGTGGCAGCCAACAAAAGGGCCTTCTCAGTCATGGCACCAAAACTATGGAATTCCCTTCCCGGGTGTGTGTGTGTGTGTTTCCATCTGTCCTTCTCTATCACTGTCTTCATCTGCAGGCGGAGATTTTTCCGTTTGGCATTCCCTTCTTGACCCTCCTTATAAGAACATAAGAACATAAGGGACGCCAATGTTGGATCAGGCCAAAGGCCCATCCAGTCCAACACTCTGTGTCACACAGTGGCCAGAAATACCAGTGCCATCAGGAGGTCCACCAGTGGGGCCAGGACATTAGAAGCCCTCCCACTGTTGACCCCCCCCCCAAGCACCAAGAAGACAGAGCATCACTTGCCCCAGAGCCCCTAGCTATACCTTGTGGCTAATAGCCACTGATGGACCTCTGCTCCATATGCTTATCTAATTCCCTTTTGAAGCCGTCCATGCTTGTAGCACCCACCACTTCCTGTGGCAGTGAATTCCATGTGTTATAAGAACATGCTCATGTATCTTTTTATTGTTTTACATTTCCATAAGAGCCAGTTTGGTGTCGTGGTTAAGTGCGCGGACTCTAATCTGGGAGAACCGGGTTTGATTCCCCACTCCTCCACTTGCAGCTGCTGGATGACCTTGGGCAAGCCGTAGTTCTGCCAGAGCTGTTCTCTCAAAGGCAGTTCTGGAAAGAGCTCTCTCAGCCCCACCTCCCTTCCAGGGTGTCTGTTGTGGGGAGGGGAGGGGAAAGGAGCTTGTAAGCCGCTCTGAGACTCCGAGTGAAAGGCAGGGTACAAATCCAATCTCCTCCACTCCTCTCCTCCTCCTCCATCTGTATCCTAAGTTTGAGCTAATGTTTATCATTTTCCACCCTTCGTTGGGTGCAAAGGTGGCTGAGAAACATTTTAAATGAATAAATTACTGCGTTAGAGCAAGACTGGGAATTCAAATTTCACCTCCGAACAAGGTTTATGGATTTGCACCAAGCTGACCGCACGTGAAACGTGGGTTCAGCTTTCTGTCTGCACCCTAATTCTGCACACCAGTTGGATTGCAGTCCATCAAGAAGAAGAGGAGGAGACTGGATTTATACCCTGCCCTTCACTACCCAAAGGAGTCTCAGAATGGCTTACAAACTCCTTCCCCGTCCCTCCCCACAACAGACACCCTGTGAGGTAAGGTGGGGCTCAGAGAGCTCTGACAGAAACTGCTCTTTTTTTCAAGAAAGCTCTGACCGGAACTACGGCTTGCCCAAGGTCATCCAGCAGGTGCAAGTGGAGGAGTGGGGAATCAGACCCGCTTCTCCCAGATTAGAGTCCGCGCACTTAACCACGACACCAAACTGGCTCTCAAAAGCTCTCCCCCAAATGACAGAACTATGGGGTCTACATAAGGATGTCTTGAAAAGCCTTCCTTTTTTACCTATGTTTTGAACTCTGTACACAGCATATGGCAGAAGCCAACAGCCTGCATAGGAAAAGACACTGGGCAATATCAAGCCCTTTATTCTGCCAGCTACAGCGGCTTGTTTTCACCTTTCCCTTCAATAGCAAAGCTCAGTAGTCAATAACAGGTTTGCATTATAAGGGCTTAAACGCAGCCTAGGCATCCCGCACCACACAGACGGCTGGATTCATCACGCCAATTAGGAGCACCGGTTATAAAGCAGATCCCTCCCTCACACGCACACACCCCGGAATTTAATTCGAGCGGCACATCCTCACCATCCAGAAGCTCGTAGATCAGCACAAAGTTGTTCTTGATGTTCTCTTCGCTGATCTTCCCGAAATAGGCGGTCATCACATCGCACATCTTGTAGAGGAACTCGAAGACCATGGCGGCGTTGACATTTTGCTTGGTGACAGCAGCCAGCCAGATGTTGGACCGCTTGACGTGGAAGAAGCTGGTGCGGGCGATGTTGGTGACGGGAGAGCGCACTTGCTGCCGCGCGTGGATGACATTGACCCGGAAGGCGTCCACCGCGTTCCGCCTGGAGAATTGGAACGAGGCAAGGGAGACAGGAATGAGAGGTCAGGAGCCACCGAGCGGACCAGGTTGCATATTACCTATCAAGTTGTCTAGCTCAAGTGGTTAAGACGCTGAGCTGCAGACCGGAAGGCCGGTAGTTCAGCAGTTCGAGACCCGAGTGCCGCATGACGGAGTGAGCTCCCGTCTCTGGCCCCAGCTCCTGCCAACCTAGCAGTTCGAAAGCAAGACATTGCAAGTAGATAAATAGGTACCGCTTCGGTGGGAAGGTAACAGTGTTCCGTGTGCCTCGGCGTCTAGTCATGCCGGTCACATGACCACGGAAACGTCTTCGGACAGTGCTAGCTCTTCGGCTTGGAAACGGAGATGAGCACCGCAACCCTAGAGTCGGATTCGACTGGCTTTCGAGCAAGGGAACCTTTTACCTTTACTAGTCTAGCTGAAGATGTGTAGACTGGACTAAATTCTGGTCGTTAGGCACGCTGACATAGTCAGCGCTTCAAGAATACGTCTCTGCAGGATTTCGTGTGGCTACATATTACAGCCAACGGAAGGGACTACGTGCTTAACTATGTAAGCCTTGGTCCTACTTGAACACGAACACACACAAAGCTGCCATGTACTGAATCAGACCATTGGTCCATCAAGGTCAGTATTGTCTACTCAGACTGGCAGTGGCTCTCCAGGGTCTCAGGCGGAGGTCTTTCCCATCACCTCCGGCCTGGTCCTTTTAACTGGAGATGCCGGGGACTGAACCTGGGACCTCCTGCATGCCAGGCAGAGGCTCTTCCACTGAGCCACAGCCCCTCCGGGGTCTCAGGCTGAGGTCTTTCCCATCACCTCCTGCCCGGTCCTTTTGACTGGAGATGCCGGGGACTGAACCTGGGACCTCCTGCATGCCAGGCAGAGGCTCTTCCACTGAGCCACAGCCCCTCTTTACAGCTCTCCAGGGTCTCAGGTTGAGATCTTTCACATCACCCACTACCTGTTCCTTTCCACTGGAGATGCCGGGGATTGAACCTGGGACCCTCTGCATGCTGAACAGATGCTCTGTCAGTGAGCCACAGCCTGATGTTCTAAGTAGCACGGGGCCTGAAAAATTAAGCCAGCAGAGTGAGCTGAACACTACGGAGCGTCTTCCTAATCCGAGAAGTGGGAGAAACTGCTTGAGGGTAGGGAATCTCCTTTCTGGTAAGGTCTCCAGGCAGCATGTTCGTCTGTTAGTCATGCACCTGCCACTAAATACTATTCAATATTTAATAGTTACTGGTGGCTTAGTGCTACTCCCTGTGCTAAGTTGTCAAAGATGTGAAGTGGGTCAGTTGCTCTTTTCCAGTTCCTCCCAGAGTCGCCTTCCAGAGGAGGTACTCAAAGAAATGTACCACTGATGCTGAAATTAAGGACAGAGGGATGTCCCGAGTGAAGATTGTAAGGCACAGGGAGGGGAAAACAAACCTGACCCAAAAACTGGAATCAAGAGCTACGAGGGTAAGAAAGAAGTCAAATATAGGGCCAATATTAAAAACTAAGTTAAACCTTATAATATACAAAAATACCTGCATTTATTAGAAAGACGGTTAAAGACTGCTGTTTGCTTGAGGACACTCTAGTGCTGGCTTAGATAGCCACACAGGTGCTTTTTGGACCTAAATCGGAAGATGTTCTAATTCAGCAACTGTGCATTTGGCACCAGACACAACATGACTTCCATCTGTTGAGGCCTCACAAGCATCTTAGTCTTGTGCCTTTAGCTCTCGCTGCTTAACTTTCCTTTCCTTGGTCCAGTATTCACTTATTGGTTATCTTATTGTAATAGGTATTAAAGTTACATGTGCCTCAATATTGTTTGACCTCTGAAGAAGGCCCCAATAGGGTGGAAACGCGTCAGGTCGTGTGTATTGGCCCCTGTGTTTTAGCAACCTTTACTTGTTTACGAGAAAGGGGGGACGTTCAAGCTAAGCTAGTGGTCAGGCAGAGGATTGAAGATATTGAATGCCAACTGGACGTACAGGCGACCCCTGCCTTTTTAGCGCCTTACAGTAGTAAATATATTGTTGCTCAAGCCTCTTACTTATCCGTTCTGGAGTCAAATAAACTTAGGAGGGCGTATACTCTGGCTAGATGCTCTGCTTTACCTTCTGCAGTTCTCAAGGGTAAATTGAAGAAAACTCCCCGAAATGAGAGGCTATGCATGTGTGCATCTGGGGAGATAGAATCCCAGGAACATGTCTTCCTGAGATGCCCATTATATAACGAAGCTCGCACAAAATGTTTTGGTCCCCTCTTGGTTGGCTCCTCTGATCAGGATAAGATAGAGAAATTACTTTCAAATCCTGACCATACAGCGATACACCAGATAGCAAAATTCTGTTTTCTGGTTGTAAAAGCTCATCAGTGTTCAGTAGCCACTTGGGTTAGATTCCCTCCCAAATAACTGATTTTTTAAATTCTTGTTCTTTTATCTTTTTAAGACTAAATTCTGTCCTTTTTACATTGTATTGTTGGTTTTAGATTTTAAAATGCTTGTATAATTTTACAAAATAGATTCACCATCTGGATATTTTAGACATTGAAATCTAGACATTGCAAAATTTTGTTCCTTGGTCGTAAAAGCTCATCAGTGTTCTGGTTGTCACTTGGGATAGGACTGTTTGATTTTAAATCTTATTGCCTTTTTTGTCATTCTATTTTACTCTTTTTAAATGTGTTTCATTGCAGCGTATTCCTAAGTCTGGTTTTAGTGATCAAAATGACTACATAATGTTGTTCCTTAGTAACCCTGTTGTTTTTAAGGTAGTTTTACCATTTGGTTATTGTAAGTTACTTCTATGGTTTTTTATAATTGCTGGCTATGCGCTGTAACAATAAAATTCATTCATTCATACTTGTTTACGAGGCTTTCATGGGGCCCTTATATGTTTTTAACTGTCTTTCTAATAAATACATATATTTTTGAACATTATAAGTTTTAACTTAGTTTTTTTTAATTAATTTTATTTTCCCACATAAATGCATATATGAACCAAGTGTTACAAACTTACAATTATGCATTCTACATAGCCACCCGAGTGACTCTACCATATATTATAACAGTTTTCAAATAGCTATCTAATATTATCACTAATGTGCCAGATACTGGGTTTCGTATTGGGTAAAATGAACTAAATATGTTAGTTTGCCTTTTTCCTTGATCGGGTCTTCTTTATTTTTTGTTGGTGTTTTCAGACAAATAACCATTTGCGATACTGTGGATTAGATGGGATTATTTCATGTCCTGTCAGATAGTTTATTACCGGTTCCCATATTCACGTGAATTTTGCAATGTGACTTAGTGTTTTGCTTTTGCGCACTGAGATCATAGTTCCCTCTAAGCTGAGTTGGTGTGAGCCAGCTCACAGATTTTTAGCCTCCGGCTCACACATTTTTGTCTTACCTCAGGAAGGAGGGCTCCAGAGCAAACTGATCTATGCAGCAGCCAAATCAATCGCTCATAACTTTAATGCCAGTAGCTCACAAAGTAGAATTTTTGCTCACAAGACGCCACAGCTTACAGGGAACATTGACTGTGATTCAGGTCTGTTATTTTCGCCAGTACAAACTGTTCCCATGTTTTATCATGCCATGCTTTCAGAGTTGGAGGGTTTGGTGTTTTCCATGCGGCTTCACTTCGTTTTTAATACTGGCCCTGTATTTGACTTCTTTCTTACCTGAGTGAAGACTGCACGGAGCACTCAACAGAATGCCTTGATTTTAGACTTTTGTCACACCCGAGTGCTGCAGGCAACAGAATCACCTTGTCTGATTGCTTCAACCCTAACCCACAGTAAGAGACTGGCAGGGGACATTGCTGTTCCTCCGTTCCCAATGGAGACAGTGCAGCTATGTCATACCACTTCACCCGTATTAGACCTCCCTTTGCTAAGTCTGCTAAGGAATACCAGCAGTAAAAGCAGGTGGAGCCTCTTTAGGGTTTGCACAGCTTTCTGCGGAAATCGCTAACCTGACACTGTGACGGACTGGTTTGAATGAAGCTACAAAGCAGCCTGTTACTCCTGTTCTGGTAACACACTTTCGACTGCGGCTCTACGGCCAAAGCTGCCGTTAGAGAACACTCACTAACCGTCTTTACATTCATTTAGATGGAAGAGCACCTACAGTGTTAGGCCACACGTATCCATCGTGAATAAAGAAAAATAAGGCCGTTCGGAGACATTGCTGGACAATAAGACAGTTTGGAGGCATTATTGGGTGAGAAGGTTCCTGTGGCTGTGCCTCTTTGGGAGTTCCCGTTGACGTGCAGTCCTGACGAAGGGATCGAAAACTCACTGAATAATCTGGAGGATGGGTTGACTGCAGCTTATTTCTTATTGTTTGCCTCAAATCCTAAGGACTGGATCTACTTGCCGATTGCAATGTACTTTACATCGTCTGTCTTAAGTCTTAAGAAGTGCATGTACTTGCTTTATAGACATTTGAAGCTCATGTTTTTCCATCCACTGAAGTTGGAATTCGTGACATTTTTCCTTCGGGAATGTTAAATGGTAAATGGTAGATAGTGCTTTAAATCCCTAGCCTATCCACTGTATTTTGGGGGTTTTTTGCATTTCTTGTATTTCATATTATTGTATATTTGAGAAATATTAGGAGCCTTATTTGATGTTAAGTCCTACAAGTTAGAGGACGCTCGGCTCGATATACCGGATCCCCCCCCCCCCCGTTGCAGTGCCCGTTATGCTCCTGCCATTCTTCTTACCTATTGCTACAGCCGCCAATGAGATGGGATGAACAGAAATGGCGCCAGCGAGGAAAAGAGGAGTGACAGCAACAAGAGAGAGGTTAGGACACACACGTACACACAAAAGCACACAATGAACTGAAACAAAAGGGAGACGGACAGCGACCCTCCTCCCCGCACAAAGGCCCAACGACGAGGCTTTTAAAATCGGTGGCGGCAGGGAAGCGCTGACATGGGGGGGGAAGCCACACACAGCCACGGTGTAGAAG